CCCCAAAACCCCAAAACCCCAAAACCCCAAAACCCCAAAACCCCAAAACCCCAAAACCCCTAAATATCAACCTTAATAGGATAATTTAAAATATGAGTTTCCCTTCCCAACCTGGCCAAAAACAAGGCGATTCTTTACGCCGTGGAGCCACTGTTGCCAGCCAAAATGTCATCTCAAGGTCCAGTATCCAAACTAATCCTGCCCTAGTCAACATTGACAGAAGCGGAGGCAACGAAACTCATGACTACAACTTCTTCGAACTCAATTATGAGCACAAATAAACATGAAAAAGGATGCGTCTACACCTGGGGCTCCGGAGAAATGGGCCAGCTCGGCTACAATATCAAGATCATCACGAAGATGCCTAAAGATCGAGAAGGATATCCTTACCAGCCTCAGCCTTATAAGATAGAATCATTGAAAGACAGAATATTCCAGATTTCAGGCGGCGATGGTCATACCGTAGCCATCGACATCAAAGGAAAAGTGTACTCGTGGGGCGCCAGTGCCTGAGGACAGCTCGGACTGTCATCGATGAAAGACTTGCCAACAGACATCGAAGGGTACCCTTACCAACCAACTCCAAGAGTTGTGGAGCTACTCTCAGATGCGAAGATTGTTCAGATTTCATGAGGAGATGCCCATACTGTGGCACTGAGTTCGGACGGAAAACTATACTCGTGGGGTGGTGGAGGTTGAGGTCAGCTTGGCCATCCCGACACCCAGACAATGCCCAAGGACGAAGATGGGTGCCCCTACCAGCCGAAGCCGAAGTGTATTTCAGCGCTCAGGTCGATGGTTGTCAAACAGATTGCTTGCGGTAAAGCTCATACAGTAGCTGTGCTTGAAAATGGCCACTTGTATTCTTGGGGAGCAGGAGCATGAGGCCAACTTGGACATCCTGACACTAGCAGTTTTCCGTCTGATGAAGATGGCTATCCATTCCAGCCAATACCGAGATGCGTTTATGCATTGAAGAACTTGTTCTTGGTGCACGCCAGCTGTGGAGATGTCCACACAATGGTTCTGACAAACAAAGGTGAAATTTACTGATTCGGCGGAGGCTCTTGCGGACAGCTCGGACTCGGCAACATCTCTTCATTACCACTCGATGTAGACTCATGTCCATTCATGCCAGTACCTCAGAAGATTGATTCTCTTGCTAAAGAGTTCATTATCAAGTTGTCTTGTGGAGACTCCCACTCAATGGCTCTGACCAGAGAAGGAGCAGTCTACGCATGGGGAGAAGCCACATGTGGACAGCTCGGCTTTGAGGACCTCAAGAACTTGCCGAGAAATGCAGATGGCCGAGTCTACCAGCCGATTCCTCAGAAGGTGGTAGCTTTAGACAAAAAGAAGATTGTAGAAATTTCGTGTGGAGAAGCTCACTCGCTAGTACTCACTGACAAAGGACATGTCTTCGGTATTGGTGCCAACAGTTGTGGGCAACTTGGCCAGTGATATTCTGAGATGAAGGCCTCTGAAGCAGAAGAGATCTTCCTTGCTAAATCTACAGACATTACATCTCAGTCTTTCGGGACTTACTTAGAAACTTCATCAGTCCAGTCTCAAGAAAACAGCAGAGACTCCAAACAAAACGACGAAGGCTCTGACAATGATAATCGAAGCGACCAAGAAAAGTATGATCCTAGCGGGTCTGATGAAGAAACCATCAAGATGATTGAAGGCTCGATGCCAGGAAACCTCATGCCTCAAATGAACATTTTTGAAGAAAAACAGAAAGAAAGCGTCTCTTTGACTCCCAAACTCATCAAGTCTCTGATGCATCGCAAAGTCATCAAGATATCATCAGGCGGTGTCCACAACATTTGCATAGTCGAGCCTTACCCGAATCACTTGTCAGGCACTCTTTACAGTTGCTTGATGAAGAGCAAGTTCACTGATGTCACTTTCATCATCCGTGAGAAGCACTCCAGCTTTGCTTCAACTCAAGAAGACGAAAAGCAAGCTGACACTGAAGAAGCCAAATCTGAGTTCCAAATTCTGAGAGGCAAGTCCAAGCTCAGAAAAGGCTACACCGAGTACAAAGTGTCAGCTCACAAGTTCGTGCTTGCTTCGAGGTCTGCAGTGTTCAGTGACATGTTCAAGAAGAACACTACTAAGAACATTCTGATCGAAAAGAAAGACTCTGGACTTTCCGGAGACTCTAGCTCAGATGTCATTGTGATCAAAGATACAACATTCAAAGCATTCAAAGTGTTATTGGACTACATTTATTTAGACAATCTCAGTCTGTTGGACGACATTAACGGATGATCAGAACTGACAGAAATTCTGAAACTCGCAAAGCTTTATCACTTGAATGATTTACTAGACAAGTGAGAACGACAATTTTTGTCATTATCATCGCTGCAGCTTTTGAGAAACCTTATCACAAACTCATTCAACAGCACCAGTCTTAAAAGGAGTAAAGACAAGAAGGCAATTGGAGCCAGAGGTTTCCCATCAGAAGCCAACTTCATTGAGTCAGACTTAGCAAGACCCGGAGCCACAGACTCGTTCGAGTCAAGGCCAATTTCAGCCGACAACCAAGAGTCTGAAACAACGTTCCCGCGATCATCGATGTCCAAACGCCAGTCGAAGCAGAAGAACGAGAACCTTGACGGAGTCATGTTCCTCGCCGATGGTAAAGTCTTGATTGTGAACAACGACCTGTACCAAGAAGTCATGAAGAAGGCTATCATCATTGACCTCAAAGATAAAGGAGACTCCAAAAACGTAAGCTACTTGTTAACATGCAGGCCTCCAACTCATCGTCTGAAGAAGAAGCCAAAGAAGCGCCTCCCGTCCTGACTTCGAAGTATGACAACTCTCGAAGCGTGACTCAAGGCAAGAAAAACAAGAAGGCAGGCCAATCATACAGAAGGCTTGGTGAAGAGTCTGTTGTTGATGTGGCCGACATGAAGCAGCCGGAGAACGTGCCATTGCAGAAAGACATCTTGAAGATGCTTGACAACAAAGACTACTCTGACATCACCCTGGTCGTCGATGGGAGAGAGATCTTCGCTCACAAGGCAGTTATGTGTTCGAGGTCGAATTATTTCCAGGGAATGTTTAGCCATGAATTTAAAGAGTCTGAGAAAAATAAAATTACACTGAAAGGTGTCCATTCCTATGAACTATTCTACAACCTGCTAGAATTCATGTACAGTGATTGTGTCAAAATCAATATCAGAAACGTATTTGACATGCTTAGTTTAGCTGATGAATATGGTGTAAACTCATATAAGGATAAATGTGAGGTCCTCCTCTCAAAATATATTACTATCACTACTGTCTGAGTGATATTCAAATATGCAAATGAGTTCAACTGTGACAGGCTTAAAGAAACATGTTTAGTGTATATGGAAGAGAACTATGACGAAGTAATCTACAGTTCCGGATTCGAGGAGCTGGAGAAAGATGAAATGCTCAAAATCATCAGACTCTGCAAGGATAAGAAGTCTGTCCTAGCTATGAAATAAATTCTCTATATTCAATCTTGAGGTTCTTATTCGGGGTTTTGGGGTTTTGGGGTTTTGGGGTTTTGGGGTTTTGGGG